ATAAATAAATAAATAAATAAATAAATAAATAAATAAATAAATAAAGAGGCTGGTGACTATGCAAGCTGTGGGATAGACACAGAAGTTCTGTCAAGCTTCGTCCAAAGCAAAATGAGATTGCTAAATACAGACATGATTGGGAATAAATCATTCTGGCACATGGAACTCATTGCCACAAGACAGGGGAATGTAGGTGTGTGTGAGAGAGGGAAACAGAGAGAGAGAGAGAGCAAATCTAGCTTCATTCTGCTTTCCCAAGTCCAACAGGGCTTCCCCCTCTTCTTCTCAACTGGTTCCGCAAGCTGCTTTTATACCTTGTTGTAGGCTGTAAATCCTTGATTAAATGCTGGAAAAATGCCTCTGATTCTGTTGGCTTTCCTGCTAGTGATTGCAATGACCAGGAGGGCACCTTGTAATTCTGCCAGTGATATTTGATCCGGAATGGGTCCTTCATGTATACTAAGCACCACCTGATGCTGAAACCACTGCAGGACATATCACACGCGTGTGAATGGGGCAGGCTTCTCTGTTTTGAACATTCTGTTGAAGTGGGAAAGAAAGGATTCTGCACCGTTTTCCTGAGGATCTCTACTCGCCAACCTCCCTTCCCCTCTCCATTTTCCTGCCAAAGGAAGTGTGACTCGGTTTTCGGGCGCCTGCCGTCTCAACGGCGTGGGTGCATCCCCAAACAACTAGATGCCTTCTGCTCTTTTTTGGAAAAACTCTCGGGGGATGCCCACAGGTCAGCTCGCTGATTTGCTATCAGTGAGAAATGTCCGTTGCTCATTAGTTTAAAAGAAAAATGTGGAGCCCTGCCAGGCAAACATATTCTGGACATTTTTGCACAGTGGCATCTTATGTTCCCCAGGCTCAGCTGAGCGTGGTGGAGTCACGCGGGTCCATGAACCACATGGAGCCTGGCCTGGAAAACAGGAATGGGAAGGATACATTGGCAGCCACTCACCTCATTAAGAGATTGTTCCATCCAGAAATGTCTTCGTTATCTGAACAATACAGGTTTCTCAGCCGCGCCGCTTCAGATCTCCTAAGAGATTTTTAGAATTCAACCCAGAGAGACCCCCAGCTGCCTTGCCCTCCTGCAGTCTCAATTATTTGAGATCGAGGTGGCCAGCATCTTAGGTGTTCTTCTGGTCCTCCAAGCTATGTTCCTGAGGGCCAGAGAATATCTCCTCCTTCCTCTCCAGGAATGGTGAGTCTCCATGACAAAGGGGCCACCGGGCTCTCTCTGGTCCACCACCAGCGACTTGACCCAGACAGCCTGAATGGTGCGATTCTGTTGACCCAGGCAATGCTCAGCATCAAGTTCCCAGAGCACAGTGGGAAAGCGATAGTTCGGAAAAACGAGCTACGAGTGCCAGAATTCCCTCGCCAGCATGGCCGCTGACCATCTTGGGAGTTCCAGGAGTCATAGCGCAAAAAAAAAAACAACCCCACTTTTCTGAACGCTGCCGAGGGCCCAACAATGCAGCAAACACACCTTTTGGAGGACGTTGATGGACCCATGGAAGGGTGGAGAGGAAACTACTCTTAACAAGCAATCTTGAATGAATGGCAAGAAGCAGGCCAAGTTGCATCACTCTCCCAAGAACCGAGCGCTCAGAAGCGAAAAGGGGTCTAGTGTTTTCATGACAATTACCGAGGATTTAATACCATGGTCCTCCTGCAACTGTGATGTGCTGTGTTGTGCTGACCCAGTTTGCTCAGGACCATCCATCTGTGACTTTTTGAATGCAAACCTTGGTGACTGGGTGGAGATAAGATAGGAAATGTCAGAGAAGCACCAGATTTGAGCATATTTCGGAGTCAGTACCTTGGACAGTTCAAAGAGCATTGTTTTGATCCCTGGGAGATGAGGGATGGATGGGTGGGGAGGATGATAAGGTTCATCTCAACCAGCTCATCCCAATCCTGGGTCTTGGACTACAACTCCCAGAAATCCTGACCAGCACAGCGAGTGGTGAAGGCATCTGGGAGCTTTAGTCCAAGAACACCTGGGGATCCAACGCTGGGAGCCCTTGATCCAAGTCCTTATAGCTGGCTCTCTGAGCAGAAGGTTAAAAACTGCTCCTCACACCATGTTCCGGGCAGGTGAACATTTGCAGCGCATGGATGAGGTACGTTCAGGACTTAGAAGCATACATATGCAACTTTAGTGCCTTGTCTTTTCCAGGAATCTATCACGTCGGGTGGCGTTGGATGCAGTACGGCGTGGGGGTTAGAAGGTTAAGAAATCTGGGTCCTTTTGCCCCAAGTGAACCGTGAAACCCACTGGGCAAGGCTGAATGGCCAGTGGCTCTCTCTGTCAGGTACCTCGCAGGAATGTTGTGGGTGTAAATAACTTGGGGAGTGGAGGAACCACACACACGACCTCTTCAGCTCCTTGGGAGGAAGAAGGGCATATAAATGCAACAAATAAATCCTAAATAAAACGTTGACCCTCCTGATTCACTGATTCTCCCTTGCCTGATCTTGCAGAGCTTGGAGAAGTTGCTTTTTGAAGAGGGCACAGAATCCGTAGCCAGCAAGGGGGGGGAAAAAGGAAAAGGAACTTTTCAGGAGATTGGATCCTGATAGCAAGCAGCCAATCTGGTCTGTAGGTAGAGGGGAGACTGTCTGGGATTTCCATCTTGAAAGAAAGCGAATAGTCATAAAGAACGGAAGGTTTCAGCCTCTCAGAGCTATTTTACAGACCTTCCGGAGACTCCAGGGGGCTTTGCTGGAGGTGGGCTGAGATGTTTTACCCAGGAGGAGAGCAGATAGACCCAGAGAGAGAGGTTCATTTTTGGAGTTTTCCTTCTAGGTCTCGGGCTGAGACTTGCCAGATCCTCCCGTGGAGGCACGAATGCCAGGACCCTCAAAGGCCCATGCTTGCCTAATTGCCGCATTCTCACGATAATTACAACAATTGCCTCTTAACTTGCCAGATCCTCCCGTCGAGGCACAAATGCCAGGACCCTCAAAGGCCCACGCTTGCCCAATTGCCGCATTTCACGATAATTACAACAATTGCCTCTTAATTGCCAGCTTTGCCCTAGCTCCAGGAACAGCAAATTTCTCCACAAGATGTAGCATGAAGTATTCGCCTTAATTATTCCCCATTTTGAAAGAGAAGGGGAGGGGAAATGTGCATAGAGGCATCTAGATGGGCGGCAGTAACGCATGGCTTTCCTGCCAGGCTCAGCCTCGGGAGGCTGGCGGTCCCTGGACTGGTGCCCTCCTGGTGCGCTGGCACCAAAAGTCTCCTCTTTGTGGGTAGAAAGAAATGACATTTCAGCCTCGCCCTTCAGTCCTCAGCTTCCCTTGCACACTTTCCCCTGTTGTTATAAAGTTATCAAGCCAGGGTGCAGCCCAAGAGCGGAGTTTTGTGCCGGAGGCTTCTTCTTGAAAAGGATGTTTTTATTTTTTGTCCCATGAGCATCTCAGCCCATGGTGTGGCCGTTCGGGTGACGTTGCCGCCTGCAAGCCTCCTGAGTTGGTGTGGTAAGAAAGAGGCCAAGATTTCCAGGTGGAGAGGGGCTCGGCCCACCGGAGGGAGAGGACAGACTCTTGTTGGAGGGGTATTCTCCTTCTGAGTCAAGGGTTTTCCCAGGAACACAGTGAAAGAGTGCTTTCAAGCATGTGCAGAGTGCCCACCCTGCTCTGGGATAAGAAGACAAAAAAGGTGTGTGGTGCATGCTCTGCTTGGCTTGAACACATTTGCTCCTGTGACAATTAAATGTGTTTCTCTCTCTCTCCCAACTGGCTGGACCCACTGGTCAGGGTCGCCGTGAAGAGGAGTGGAAGGAGCCGCCCTGGGAATTAATGGGAGGAAAAGAGGCTTGGAAAAGAAACATACACACAAATAAAACTCTGAACGCTGCTTTTCCTTTGCCTACACTTTTAGCAAATTCTTTGCTTGGATCCCTTGAGAAAAATCCTCTATGTTTATATAAACAAAGTTCCAGAACTAAAACAAAGCTTACTGGGCAAGCATCAACGTCCCAGTCAGTGCGATTTATTTGCAAAGTTGTGGCTCAGCCTTGGGGGGAGGAGAGGGGGGTTTGACTGCTTTTGAAACTCCCTTAGAGTATCGGGGAAAACAGATAGGTGGCTCATGTTGGGGATGCAGAGGCGAAGGGCTCTGCGGCTGTTCTCCCATCACAGATGTTGCGTCAGCCAGTCCAGGAAGGGGGAGATCCCGGAGCAGGGGCTGCATCCACTTCGAAGCAGACGTCGCGGGGTGTTGAATGCCACGAGCGGCAGAGTAATGAAAGAGCGGGTGGCGTTGCATCAGCAGAGCTGTTCAGACCGTCGGTTGGGCTCACCTGCCAGTTTCACACCCTCGGCCCACTTCCCGTCCGCCCAGAATTTCTCCTCTGTTCTGCCCAGGGGTAAAAACCACATCATTTCTTTATTTGGCTTAAAATACTAAGATGTGGGTGGGGTGGGGTGTTTCTAACACAGCCGGATGGGTTGCGCTAGAGCAAGCCCATTCCCGGGATTATAAAGTGTTCAAAAGGCAGAATGTGGGGAAGCACATTATTTTTGGAGACGGCAGTTGCAGACTCCTCCAGCTAGCATGGCAGAAATCCAACCGATAAAGCTCCCTCCTTCATTGCAATCTCCCAGCTATCTCCTGCCTGTGAACTCACCTACAGCAGTGACTCAGCCTTATCAACCTGGAGGTTTTTGAGGGTGTGGGACTACAATTCCCATGATCCCCCCTCAGCCAAGATGATGAGGGTGCAAGCCCCTTTGAGCTGATGTTGCTATCCTTGGCTGTTCTCAGGGTGACCTACATGCATAACCCCCCACTCCCCATTTGACCCTTATAACTTTAGGTAGAGAGTGAGGATCACAGCAGAGACGGGATTTGAACGCAGATCTCTCATGAGTCCTAAGGAAAACCCCAGTCAGTCTTGGGATACTTTGAATAACACCCTGCTTTATTTGGCATTCCATTTGAGAAGCCCTTGGCTTTTCATCTGATGTACCTGATGCGGAAGGTTTCAGCCCATGAAGTCACGCCAAATGAAATGTTAGCTTTCGAAAGCAAGATCCGCTGTTTTCCCTCTCATGAACTGTTATGGCTACCCTTCCCCCTGGACGCAGAGTCTAAACCCAAACTCCCCAACGTTGTGCAACTTTCCATTTGTGCCGGACTGCGACTTCCACCATCCCCAGCGGGCAGAAAAAATCCCCCACAGTTGTAAAAGAAGAAAACAGGCCTTCTATCTCCCGACTTGAACTGTGAAGGTCAGGTTTTTAAATCCCACGTCAAGGCTAGAGCCTTCGGTAAACAAAGCAAGCCTCACAATCTTTTTTTGCCGGAACTGTTTGTTCGAGCGACTTTGCTACAGATAGCTTGCTCCTTTCTGGAGCTGACGTCCTGGAAAAAAGGTGGAAGGCGGTACAATTTGGCTCTCCCTAGATTAACCAGAAAGGATCCAGCGTCCCATATTTAACAGCTGCTGATGGAATTTTTCAGGTTTGGGTGGAGAAACTGCAAAGCGATATACTCACACAGTTCGTACCTATAGCAGGCAACCGGGTACATCAATTGGGGTAGATTAAGAATTGCATCCTCTGCTCATGCAGTTTGCAATTATCACTTGCTGGGACGACATTTCCAAGAATTCGCCAGCCAGCTGATGGGGTTTTGGGGTGTTTTGTGTGGGGAAGTTCCCAAAAAACTGCATTTCCAAATTCTGCAGAACCTAATGTCTGCACAGTTCCAGCATATGGTGGCCGAATGAGACTTCCCGGAGCGGAAGGATGCCTGGCCTAGAAATAGATTCATGGGCCCTGGGAAGAGAACCTTTCTCCTGGATCACGACCAATGTGTTGTTGTGGTGTAGTGTGAACAAAGGGCACTAGGCCCACACCTGTTTCATGCAACCTCTCCTCCTGCTCCACACCTTAAAAGTTAATATCTTTACGGATGGAAATTTTCACGGGCTGCTTTGTGAAAGCTTTCGCTATTGTTTCCCCGCTCTGCTTCACGCGAGCACCTCCAGTCTCCGTGGAAAATTGCCTTTATAACTGCAAAGACAATAGGAAAAAATTGATGGAAGGAGGAAAAAAAAGATGGATAAAAAGCTTATAGGGTATAGACCGTGGAGATCTGGGGGCAGGAAAAAATTGATGGAAGGAGAAAAAAAAAGATGGATAAAAAACTTATAGGGTATAGACCGTGGAGATCTGGGGGGGGGGGTTGCATCTACCGATTTTCTTTAAAGTACACCATCCTTGGATTTTGGAAGGTCCCGCCCCCCCCAGCTGTTGCCCTTATTTGCTTCTTATACCTATGGGAAGCAAAGGAACGTCCTTCACCAAGTTGGTGCCTTTTAAATGTGTTGGACTATAGCTTTTATCACTCCCTGCCAGCATACCCATACTTAACTGGGGATGATGGGGGATATGGCCCAACACACCTTCAGCGTGTGAAAACAGGAAAGGCTACTGTAGAGCTTCAATCCTGGACCGGTCCCTCCAGCGCCTGTTTTTTCCCTTGGGAGAATATGTGGATGGAGGAGGCACCACGCTGTCTGGGTGCTGGAGGCTGCCCCCTACTGGCCATCGGCAAAAGCCGCTCCCGCCCAGGTCAGGTCACCAGGAGCCAGGATCGGGCCAGTGGGCTTGGGGCCAGCCAGGGCTCAGGGCGACTGCCTTTTAGGCTCCATCTCTGACCTAGATTCATCACACGCCTGCAGAGATAACATAAAAGCAAACACGGATGTAATTGGCAAGTCATGCTTGCCCTCTTGATGGGCAATTAGGGCCCAGCGGGTTAGCCTTGTGACCTGCCTGTTCAAATACCGATTTAGAATAAAACAGGTTGTAAAGCCGGGTCACGCTGACCCGGAAAGTCTACGAAGGCACGCAGAAAGGTCCAGAGGTGTAACCAAAGCTCTCCAGCCCTGGGTGTAGGATGGGCACTTCCTCCTCTTGCATGCCGGAGCCATTAAACTGTTGAGGCCGGGAGGATGCTCTGGAAGTCACCCTTCAGGTCAGGTTTTAAAAAAAAAAACAGCCACCAACAAAAACAACAAAAAACACTTGCTAATCAGGTGCTCCAGACAAGCGCTCAAGAAAAAGTCTCCAGGAAGGATGGGATTGTTACAAGGAAGATGGAGAAAAAGTCACTCCCGAGTCATAAGAAGAGATAGCTTTCTATTTCTATTTCTCTCTCTCTCTCCTCCCCCCCCCCCCCCCCGTTCTTAGGCATGTTTTCCAAGGAAAGCACATCTGAGCCCAACTGTGACTTTGGAAAAGTTGCCTGCAGCTTGGATTCTGAGAGTGTAATGGAAAAAATATACAGTATATGCACTTTTCCAGGCTTTGCTTCACCCTCTGCTTTGCCTGTCTGATGTGAAAACAGACACAGCAAAAAGTATATGCATTGCATCTCCAGGAGAGAAATGAGAAAACATGCCTTGATCTCCCAGAAAGGTCCACGAGGATGGGATAAGGCTTCGAACAGTCGTGAACCTCTGGATATGAGAATGAAGAATTAAAAGAGGCAAGCCAGGCAAAGAGGTTTATATGACCTTTCTGGAACTGGTTTCCGACTGTCTCAGGGCAATGACCACCCAATAGCTTAGAAGGCTGAGCGGAGAATGAAGGGGTGCATTCTTTATCTTGCGAAGATCATAGGGCCACAGCTATTGCTCCCCGCCCACCCTTTCGCTGCTCCTAACAGGGTCAGGGCAAGGCTGGGTGGGATCAGTCACACAAGCTGGATTTGGCCCAACTGCTGTCAGTGGGTGAGCCCTGAAGGACAGATCAGACCAAAGGCTCCTTTCATCCTGCATTCTGTTCATTTCTGGGGCCGGTCTCTTGCTTCTGGGCAGACCACAAGCAGAACATGAAGGCAGCTGTCACTAGAGATATACTGACCCTGTTACTAGAGGTTCTATATAGCCACTCAGAGCATCAGTTACCACGAGCTGATTCAGTTCCCTTTCACAATCATCCTTTACTACACCATGTGGCAAGGAATTCCGCAGTTTAACAAGGGAGAAAAGTACAGTGATTATCTGTCTGAATCTCCCACCATTCTACTCTAGTGAATTGTTGGGCTCTTGACAGAGAAAGGAAATCTTCTATCCATTTTATATACTTCTATCACACATCCTCCTTATTGGCCTTTTCCTTGTTTAGAGTGGTTCATTGGTCCTTCTGCCCTGGGTGAGTTCTGAATGTTTTTGTCCAAACAACTTGGCACTGGATGTTGTTCAACTTCCGGCTACTCGCAATGAGTGCCTGGATCCGGTTACCCTGCTACAAATGGAGAGATATTTAATTCCAAAGTTCATCATGCAATAGGCAATCCTCTCGCCCTCCACAGGGCCCTAGATCACTCTACATACCAGAAGATTTTGTTTTAAGTGTTTCACGGACGTTTTATTTCATTACATCACTCTACGGGCCGTACAATCGCTCGCCACAAACAAACACGCACGCACAGTTATGGTCCCTCTTCTACTGCAGATGTGCCACAAAGACATTTACGTGAATCAAGAGGGAAGGGGCAGTGGACTGGCAACTAGAGGGTGGAAGAAAGTGGGGTGCTGGATGGTTGCTGGAAGAGGGGGGTGGTAGAAACTTTCTCTCCCCCCACTCTGAGTTCACCCCTTTCTGCAGGGCAACCCAGCCACGAGCTAGGAACTACCCACCCTCTGCGTTTTTCTCCATGCCAAGGAAAAATCAGGACTAGAAATCCAAATGGACGCCCAATTCACGTGGTTCCCCCTCCATCCCCCCGCCAGCCTCCATTGATGGGGTCAAGTGGCCAAATCTACTCTGAAGAAGTCACTGATTCCGGGAACTGGTGACATGAGCCTTGGGGTCAAGGGGAGGGGGGAAATGGAAGGGCACAACCGGGCGATCTCCAGCACCACCGACTCGGTCCTCCCTGCGCTTCACTCCAAGGACTGCAACATGAGAAGCTGCTTCAAGACTTTTGTTTGACTCGTTTCTCGGATCTCGCCTGCCAAGAACATCTCGTCCACCACAGTGTAGACCTGGAGACACAGAGAGAAGACATGTCTGATTCCCCGATCGCTCTCTTCCTGTCTCCAGTGCTGCGAAGCATGGCTTGGTCAAGACACAGGAGGTCCCTTCTCGGGCTGTCCCCTGTCAAGGGCAACCTTAGACAGCTGCCTAGCGCCACCTTGTGGAAGGGCGGCATCGACGGGTCACTCAACCCACTCCTTGCTGGTGTGTTCCGCCCTGGACTTGGGATTCCTGCCTTGAGCAGGGGGTTGGACTCAATGGCCTTATAGGTGCCTTCCGATTCCATGATTCTAGGATTTCAAACCAGCCCCTTCCTTTCTCTCTTTCTCCCCCCACCCCGGAATGGAAAGGTCAAGGGCCAAAGCAACTAACAAACCTGAACCCACCTTGTAGAAGTTGAACACCAGGTCCAGTTCACAGACGTTGTGGAAATATTCGTTCAAAACCTGGGAAAGAGAAGGAAGCCCATTTTTACAGCCCAGGAGAAAGAAGGCGTGTGCAGTGGGAGGTATTGTTACTGGCTGAGACGACCTCTGCCCAGACCCTGTTCGCAAGGGAGGGGGCTGTCCCGAAGGCAGGGTGGGGTCGGGCACAGGCAGAAGGCTCAATTCCCCAGGATGTCTAGGTAAGGGGAACTCATGAAGCCCTTGAGGGGGGTGCGAGGGGAGGCCTCTTCTGTCCTAGATACTGGTTAGTCGGTATTGGGAATGAAGCTGGAACCTGCCCCCTTTCTCTCTATCCTGCCTGTGTTCTCTCTCTCTCTCTCTCTCTCTCTCTCATACACACACACACACTTCCACACACTTGTTTACAATTTTTTCTCATCCAAATCAACTCATTCATCCACGTTACTTTCTCTCCAACCCAAACAACCCCCTCTTCTCTGTCTGGCTATCAATGGTCCCTCTCCATTCCTGCCACTGGGCAGAAATTGGGGCTCTGAAAAGCTTGCATCCATGGGAGCTTTTTTCAACGGCTTTGCATGGGGAGATGGTGAAGGGAGCTTTAGCCCTGTTGCTTCTTACCTGCGACCCCTCTTTGGACATACCAACAACGCTTGGTCCCCTTCCTCAAGCATTCCCCAGTAATCTCTTCCTTGCCAGCTGCTTTTTTTTTAAAGATGTGAAACAAGGGGGGGATGTAGAGGGGAGTCTGAGCACCCCATCTCCTAGCCAGAGCTCAGAAGTGTTTCTCGTTCAGGGGGGCAGCAAGGCACACTTATTCGGCCTCAAACCGCAGACTCGGCTCACCTCCACAAAGTTGTGAATGGCTTCCAGATACGCCAGGTTGTTGTCATTCACATCCACGCAGATGCAGAAATAAAGCCCCGCGTAACGTCTGTAGATGATCTTGAAATTTCGGAACTGGAAGGAGAGGAAGAGAGAGCAGCAGTCACCTGGGGCAGCAAAGTGACACCCACTAGGAGCAAAGGCAGAGCTCCCCGTCCAGAAGGCTGTGGTTCTGTAGGATGTGAGCCAGCACCAGGAATGGGCACGAACCGCCAGTTTGCTCCAGTTCGTTTTTTGGCTGAACAGGTCTGCACTTCCCAGTACCTCCTCCTCAGGCAGACGTCCACTCAGAGGCAGCACCTGGAGGAGACGGGGCAGAGAAGGCAGAGTGCTGCCTCTGAGTGGACGACCACTGAAGGAGGTGGGGCTTTGAAGCACTGAACACTTGTTTTTAATGCTATCTTGGAAACTCCACTGAAGATTATGCGAAGGGACATAAGCAGATAACACTCTACAATGGGAGGAGTAAACATTCTGCCGAAAAAGATAGGCGCTGGGGCCAATGATGCCAGAACCCACTAGCCAGGCAGCATTACTGATAAAGGGTGCTAAGTTCACTCCCAATATGAGCTGCAGAAGGACAGAGCGCGCCAGCTCTGGAGGGAAAGGGAAGCATCAAGTGTCCCGCTATGATGTGTCACCTCAACAAAGTTGGTGTGCTTTGCATCCCGGACAGTGACGACAGCATGGACCTCCTCAATAAGCTTCTGCTTCTCATCATCATCAAACTGCATGTACCATTTTGCCAGGCGTGTTTTTCCGGCCCGGTTCTGGATCAGAATAAAGCGAATCTGGAAAAAGACAAAGCCGCCAGATCAGACAACAGGGCTGGGATTCAAACTGCACCTCCCAAATTACTGGTACCAGGTTTTCAGTGGAATTACAATGGTAGTACATTTCCAGAGTATATAAAACCATATGATCATTTTTCCTCTGATGAAGCCCCTGAAGAAGTAGGTCATGCTGAACAGGTACTCACTCAGAGACACTAAAACCAACCTCCTTCAAAAGCAAGATTCCAGCTGGGGCTCTGCATCAGTTACACCTGATACCAGCACACACACACACACACAGAGTATGATGACTGACATTTGAAACTTTAGGGCACACGATTCACATGAGTTCAGAGGTTCTCGGCTCTTATCTGGTTTTCCTTTGCTTGCCAAACCCAGCAGCTGCTTTGCTCCTTTTCTTGCATGGACTGGACATGAGGAACCTCCCTGCCTCCCCCAAGTTCTTCTTGGGGGGCGGGGAGGACCCTTTTCCTGAGGCCTGTTTAACTCCTCTTCCTGCCTGGTCAGCTCATGATAGAGGAAAGGAGCCCATCAGAGTCAGCAGAAGCAAAGGATGGCCGGCTCATTATCTGTTCCAACAATAACTTTGTTATGAAGTGTCTTTTTAAACAGTCTGAATGGGCAGTCCTAACAAACAACAGACTCCTTTTTTTTCTGTTCCTGGTCTCCCTGATTGACCAGGGAACAGGACAAAGCTGTCTCCCGTCTTCAGCTACTGTCCAAAAGCAATTCTGTTTGCAAGGAGGCTGGATACAAGGATGAGTCAATATAGGCAAACAAACAAGCCACTCTGCCCTATTGGCTCTGGATGCTTTTATGTGTGAGCCCCCACCGAGGCAACAAGCCAGCCACTTTGTAATACGTCAGAAGCAGACAGGGTAAACCCTTGTCCTCAAATAATCCAGAACTAAGAGGTCTATGCTCTTTTCTGAACTGCAAAAGTGGGCCAAGCGATGGTGAATAAACAATCTGTTTGGCTGAGAATAACATCAACAAGTGAGCGAAAAGGTAACTGCCTGAATTTATCTCATGAGCTTCTGTAAAGGAAATGCTCTGTAGCCCTCTGTATTGAGAGAATAACATCAACAAGTGAGCGAAAAGGTAACTGCCTGAATTTATCTCATGAGCTTCTGTAAAGGAAATGCACTTCCATAGAAAGCTGCAAGGGAAACGAAAGTTGTGCAACTTCCCCAAGATGTCACAATGGTTGCCAGATATGGCCTTCCCTTTAGAATCTCTCCTCTTCCAGGAATTTGTTTGATAAAAAGTGGCATAAAACCATACACATAAAAATAATCTTGGAACTGCAGAGCTGGAAAGGGCCCTACGGATCATTAAGGAGGCACCCTGGGGAACTGAACTCCCAGAGGCACCCTGGGAAACTGAACTCCCAACTTCTGGCTTTGCAAGCAGAGACTTAAACCACAGAGCAAGTGAACACACTGATCTTGAGAATTCATGGGGTTAGGGCAGGATCTGATTTTCCAAATAGTACTACGTGTTCAGCAGTTTAGGTATCTGGCTGCAGAGCCAGAGGTTGGGAGTTTGATTCCTTACTATGCCTCTTAGGAGCAGAGCCAGCCTGGGTTGCCTTGGGCCAGCTGCAGAGTCCCCCAGCTGACCACGGAAGAAAGGAAAGTAAATCACTCCTGTGTATTCTCTACCTGGAAAACCTTGAAAAAGGGTCACCATATGTTGGAACTGACGTGACAGCAAAGAATGATTATTAAAGAAGGAGGAAAGCACAGCATTCTGCCACCCACTGCCACAAGCAAACAATATTCGCTGCTCGGAGCTTTGCCGTCCCTTTGTGTGCGCCCTCTGGTTAAACAGGGCTCCAGCATCACACCTTGAGGCCATCATTCAAACTGCTTCCCAACTGCCCTGAGTTCGCATCCTTTGCACCAACTGAAGAACTCCACAGCATGTATTCCCACGTGACAACCCACCTGGGCCATGCACATCAAGGTTTCCGTCGCACTGTCAGTCCCGATTAAAGTGGAGCTGCTGAATCAGTACATCCACACGGAGGTAGGCTCCATTGATGCAAGGGGTCTACTTCAGTTGTGACTAACAACAGGATCTAGGCCTATGGATGTCATCCCACAAAAACAGGGTGTGCTACCAATTCTCTCCCAGACGTCTTCACTTCCTCCGCCAGGGAATTCTACCAGCCGCCTGGTGTTGGTCTTGCTTCCGCGCCCGGGACCCCCAAACTCCAGCACAGCGAGGGGCAAGCTGCCAGGGGCACCCCTCCACCCCCATGGCCTTCATTTAGCCACTTTCCAACCCGCCATGCCCTCTCTACCCTCCAGGGACGACAGACACCCCCCCACCCGCCTGTCTTAAGAGGCTTCTTGTGTGAGCACTGAGGTGGAGCAGGAGCTTCCCACGCCCCAACACCCGGGACCCCAAGGCCAGCATCAGGACAGCGGGCAAGAACACGGGGTTTTCCATTGCTGGTCCATTGGGGGCGAGACTGACCAGGAATCCTGTGGCACCTCTGAGGCTGACACATTGCTGTCTTCCAGGTGGCACAAGACAATGGTTTAAACGCTGTTTCAAACAAGCTTCCCCCAAAACTCACATGCCCCCCAGGAGACCCCAATTTGCCCCCCCCCCGAAATTAGGCCTACGCCCCCCCCTTCCCCCCGCTTTCTTACCATAGTGAATGCTGCTCTCCTTCCCCACAGAGCTCAGGCGCCTCTGGTTCAACTCCCCCACCCGGATTCCTTTTTTTCCCCCTTCTCTTCCTACCGGATATCCGGCAAGGCGCCTGTACGCCCCTTAGCCTCTTGGGAGTGGTAGTTTAAAGAAGCGCATGGGTGGAAATTTTTCCCGGCAGGCTTTGCAGTAAGAAAGCCCCCCTCCCGCTCTGTGTGTGTGTATATATACTGCACTAGCGAGCCATGTGACGAGCGTGTGGTATGCTGGGAAGTGTAGTTTATTGGGTCCGGGGAGGATAAAACCGCAAGAAAGGCTTGTACAGCAGGTAGCTACGTAGTTTTTAAGAGGCCAGCTGCCACCACTAGGGGGCGCCAGGGGCACGTGTCCCTCGCCCAAAGCCGGGGGCTGGACTAGAGGAGTAAAGCAGAGGCCTTCGGAGCGTGGCACTGCTAGAGTTTTACTTTAGCTCCAGGCTTGGTCAGGCCTAGTAGGCCTTACGGGGGGGGGACTCAACTAATAATATCCTAATTTGCCTATGCTTCAGTAAAATATGGTATTATTAATCATTGTGCAAAATACCATGTAGCTAGATGGGCAGTATCTAAATTGAACAAATAAATTATGTAAACATCACAAAAGTGTATTAAAAATACAAACCCTTTCCCAAGATTTTGCTGTGACCACGACTGAGAAATCACATTGGATGGTCTGGTTGAAAAGTGACATATAAATGCTTTAATGTTGATAATCATAAGCAGCTTGACTTGCTTGTTCTATTTGCGCTTTAGCAAACATGCACAGTCTGTCATCTTAGATGCTTGCGGTTTTCAATATTTGCAATTTGTGGTTTTAACTGTGTGTCTCAATGCAGACCACCAACCACCCCGATCGTTTATGAGGAAGAGTGTAAATTGAACAACTGTTGCTCCCGATATTGATATTTCAATGTTCTGTGGGGTACTTTGCTCGTCTATTGTGTGTGCCGTAATTTAATCCCTATCCTAGCCCTCCTGTATTGCTCACAAGAGACGTACCCCCTCCACCAAACAGGCACAGGTTAATAGAGAGGGACAACTCGACAGGGCCCTGTAAATCTGCTAGCCAACCCTGTTCAGAGATTCGTTGCTCCCTTAATTCCAGATGCAGCCCTCTTCTTGACTTACACAGGTCTGATAGACAGCCTGTGGGATTCTGGTCAAATCAACAATACCAATCTTTTGGGAAGCCACACGGCCGCCTCTGCTCAGTTATGTTTGAAAGGAAGCAAGATTCGTCCCAAGAAACTAGCCCGATGGTTCGTCCAGCGAATCAAAAGCTGCGGATTGTTCACCATATTTGTGTACAGTGTCCTGGCCTGGAAACGGCACTCAGCTCAGAGGTGTTTAGGATAAACTACGTATGTTGCTTCCTGGCACAGCTGACAGAGACCTCCCATTCTTGCTCAGTTGGCACAATTCACAGGAGAGGCAGCATGTCTCCTTGCTTGACTCATATAAAATATGATTTGTCATCATTATGAAAAAGAAGAAAGAAAGAAGAACCAGCTGCTCAGCAGACTTGGGTTCGGTTCCTTTCAATCCTGGACCTCAACGGGTGACGCTGGTGACTGGCCTGTTCTCCTTTGCAGGGCTATTGCGAGGCTAAAAGGTGATTTTAGGAAAAGGACGGCGATGGACAACCATTTCGAGCTCTGTGGAGAAAAGGCGAGACCCACAAGCCCCAAGTAAGTTTTGAAATGTTCATGGCAGTCTGGGGCACAGGATGGAGAAAGAATAAACATGAAATGGTGTTCGGTGGAGGGAGACAGAACTTCTCCCTGGCCAGATTTTTTTTCCATGGAGTTTACAGCTTTCACTGTCCAGGAGCCTCAATGCAAAATATTGACATAGCAAAACTACTCCAGTCACAAAGGTCACCATAGAACAAACAATTTTGGTTGAAAACTAACAAACACTGGAAGGACGGGTCCCATTCCCACCCCCTCGGCAGGCTTGGCTCCCCTTTTCCCTTGCTGTGCAAAAATGTTATTTCCTGGTGCTTCCCCAGCAGTTATTTTGTGTCAGCTTTCTCGCTTCCTAATGCTAGATCCTGGGGGGAAACGTATTCCCAGCTCCATGCCCTTCAGCGTTCCTTTCCCAATGATGGTGGTAGCAATAATTCTAACAAAAAATAGGCCGTGCATCTGTTTCTTTTTCGGATGCACATCTATTTATTTATTTGTTTATTTTAAAAAATGTGCTGACTCTTTCCCTCCCTTCTGAACCTGGCAGAAACCGTCTGGCTACACCCTGGCGAGGTGGTGGGCAAAGGCAGCACCACACAGAGGTGGCGATCCACAAAGCAGCCGCA